TGTATATTGTAATAAACAGAATAGAGGAAATCAACTCTAATATACATTATTTAGGTATGCATACTGGTCAGAGAGCCCGTCGTAAGTCCGAGTTGTCGGTAAACGAGTACGTTGTTAAGTGAGGAAATGTTGTAATTACTGTAACATAACTAAATACCAGTACTGAAAAGTAAATACAGACTTGCCGCTTTCATGCTGGGTAATTACTCATGTTTCATCTCCAAAGTAACTGCTTTTGCGCCATCGTAAAGTCAAAATGTAAGTCGAACTATCGAAAGTTGAGAAGCACCTGTATTTCTATTGCATATTTTGATGTTTCAGAGCAGTTGGAGCCATTTTCTAACATACTTCATTTTTTTCAGCTAAAATATATTGATTATCGTACTTTTAATCTAAACTGTGACATTCCTGAGATCTGTCATATACCTGTGGTTGATTTTGAGAAATTTTCTATCCTCACAGCCCAGGCTTCTATTCATTGCCTGTTCACAAGCAGGCTGTTGCTGCTGGCAGCCCAGCTGGCTCACATAATCATCAGAAACTGGTTGATATGGTACACCAGATGTAGTGATCCAGTTTTCTCTTGAAAACATCAACATTTCTTTCAGTAGACTAATATTCTGATATCTGCTGGTAGTAGGTTGAATAGTCTTGAATCATGAATGTTGACATAGTGTTCTCTTATTGTGCCCATGGCACCCCTACTTTTAACTGGATTTATTTTACACTTCCTCCCATATCTCTCACTTCAGTATATTATGGAAGTGTGTAAATTTAAGACTAGGCCCTTAATTACCTGCCATATAGTATATATTATCAAGTATTTCTCTTGTCTTAGCTCCAGAGAGTATATTCAAAGTAGTAAGAGACATTCCCAGTAGTTTAAATGCTCTATTGGCTTTATGCAAGAAGTACAATAATTATGGTTTCTTTTTCTGTCTCATAAACACGCTAGATAACAGGGATATCTTGCTACTCCTACTTACACTTTGGTCACACTTCACAGACACGCACATGCATATATATATACATACATCTAGGTTTTTCTCCTTTTTCTAAATAGCTCTTGTTCCTCTTTATTTCTTCTATTGTCCATGGGGAAGTGGAAAAGAATCTTTCCTCCGTAAGCCATGCGTGTCGTATGAGGCGACTAAAATGCCAGGAGCAATGGGCTAGTAACCCCTTCTCCTGTAGACATTTACTAAAAAAGGAGAAGAAGAAAAACTTTATAAAACTGGGATGCTTAAATGTGCGTGGATGTAGTGTGGATGACAAGAAAACAGATGATTGCTGATGTTATGAATGAAAAGAAGTTGGATGTCTGGCCCTAAGCGAAACAAAGCTGAAGGGGGTAGGGGAGTTTCGGTGGGGGGAATAAATGGGATTAAAATCTGGAGTATCTGAGAGAGTTAGAGCAAAGGAAGGGGTAGCAGTAATGTTGAATGATCAGTTATGGAAGGAGAAAAGAGAATATGAATGTGTAAATTCAAGAATTATGTGGATTAAAGTAAAGGTTGGATGCGAGAAGTGGGTCATAATAAGCGTGTATGCACCTGGAGAAGAGAGGAATGCAGAGGGGGAGAGAGAGATTTTGGGAGATGTTAAGTGAATGTATAGGAGCCTTTGAACCAAGTGAGAGAGTAATTGTGGTAGGGGACCTGAATGCTAAAGTAGGAGAAACTTTTAGAGAGGGTGTGGTAGGTAAGTTTGGGGTGCCAGGTGTAAATGATAATGGGAGCCCTTTGATTGAACTTTGTATAGAAAGGGGTTTAGTTATAGGTAATACATATTTTAAGAAAAAGAGGATAAATAAATATACAAGATATGATGTAGGGCAAAATGACAGTAGTTTGTTGGATTATGTATTGGTAGATAAAAGACTGTTGAGTAGACTTCAGGATGTACATGTTTATAGAGGGGCCACAGATATATCAGATCACTTTCTAGTTGTAGCTACACTGAGAGTAAAAGGTAGATAGGATACAAGGAGAATGAGCATCAGGGAAGAGAGAGGTGAAGGTTTATAAACTAAAAGAGGAGGCAGTTAGGGTAAGATATAAACAGCTATTGGAGGATAGATGGGCTAATGAGAGCATAGGCAATGGGGTCGAAGAGGTATGGGGTAGGTTTAAAAATGTAGTGTTAGAGTGTTCAGCAGAAGTTTGTGGTTACAGGAAAGTGGGTGGGGAGGGAAAGAGGAGCGATTGGTGGAATGATGATGTGAGAGAGTAGTAAGGGAGAAAAAGTTAGCATATGAAAAGTTTTTACAAAGTAGAAGTGATGCAAGGAGGGAAGAGTATATGGAGAAAAAGAGAGAGGTTAAGAGAGTGGTGAAGCAATGTAAAAGAGAGCAAATGAGAGAGTGGGTGAGATGTTATCAACAATTTTGTTGAAAATAAGAAAAAGTTTTGGAGTGAGATTAACAAGTTAAGAAAGTGGAACAAAGGGATTTGTCAGTTAAAAATAGGAGAGGAGAGTTATTAAATGGGGGTTTAGAGGTTTTGGGGAAAGATGGAGGGAATATTTTGAGGAATTGTTAAATGTTGATGAAGTAGGGAAGCTGTGATTTGTGATAGGGCAAGGAGGAACAAATCTTGTGGGTTTAGGAAGAGCCGTTGTGAGTGGGGGGAGTTCGTGAGACAGTGGGTAAATAAAGGGGGTAAGGCAGCCGGGTTGATGGGAAAAAGATTGAAATTTTAAAAAGCAGGTGGGGATAAGTTTTGGAGTGGTTGGTGCAATTATTTAATAAATTTTGGGAAAGAGGGTAAGGGTTACCTGGGAATTGGCAGAGAGCAGCATAGTTCCTTTGTAAAAAGGAAAAGGGGGATAAAGAGAGTGAAAAAAATTATGGGGGTAAGTTGTTGAGTTACCTGGAAAAGTGTATGGTGGTTTTATTGAAAGAATTAAGAGTAAGCGGAGAATAGGTGCAGATGAACAGGAGGCTTTAGGAAAGGTAGGGGTGTGTGGACCAGGTGTTTACAGTGAAACATAAGTAAAAACAGTATTTAGATAAGGCAAAAGAGGTTTTGTGGCTTTAGGTTTTGGAAAAGGCGTATGCGGGTGGATGGGGGCAAATGGGCAGATTTTGCGGTTTTGGGTGTAGGAGGTAGGTTATGAAAGCAGGAAGATTTTTTACGGGTAGTGAGGCTCAATTTGAGTATGTAGGAAAGAGGGAAATTATTTCCAGAAAAAAGTAGGCCTTAGACAAGGATGTGTAATGTCCCTGGTTGTTAAAATTTTTTATAGATGGGGTTGTAAGAGAAGTAAATGCGAGGTCTTGGCAAGAGGCTGGATTTAAAAAGTAAAGAATACACTTTAAAGTGGGAGTTGTCCATGCTCTTTGTGTGACATGTGTTTTGGGAGTTTCTGAGAAGTTGCAGGAGGTGGTGGATGAATTTGGTAGGGTGTGCAAAAGAAGAAAATTAAAAGTGATACAGGAAGGTAAGGTTAGAGGTAAAAAAAAAGTTAGGGATAAAAGATTGGTATAGTTTGGAGGGAGAGAGTAGGGGGAGGTGAAGTATTCAGATTTTGGGGGTGGAGATAGCGGATGGGTTATGAAAGATGAGGGGAAAAAAAAGAATTTATGAGGGGGAAAAGGGTGAGTGGGGGCACTTAGGAGTCTGTGGAGACAAAGAACTTTGTCCCTTTGGGGGCAAAGGGGGGGGTTTTTAGAGTGTTTTTCCCCAAAGCTTTTTTTTTGGGGGGTGAAGCATGGGGGATGAATGTTTCAGCGAGGAGAAGGCTGGAGGCGTGGAGGTCATGTCTGAGAGCAAGTTGGTGTGAATTAATGCAGAGAATTGTAGTTTGGAAGTTTGGAGGGGGTGCGGGATTCCAAAACGTTGTCCCGAGGGTGAGGAAGGGTTGTTGAGGTGGTTCGGACATGTGGGAGAATGGAGCGAAACAGAATAACTTCAAAAGTGTATCAGTCTTAGTGGGAAAGGGAAAGGGGGGGGGTAGGGGTCGGCCTAGGAAAATTGGAGGGAGGGGGTAAAGGAGGTTTTGTTTTGCGAGGGGTTGGACTTCCAGCAGGCTGCCGTGGGGGGTGTTTTATAGAGTGATGGAGCAAATGGTTTTTTTTTACTTGCGTGCGTGGAGTGTGAGCAAGTAAATTTTTGAAGGGGTTCAGGGAAAAACCCGCGGCCGGACTTTAGTCCTGGAGATGGGAAAAATACAGTGCCTGACTCTGAAGGAGGGGGTTAATGTTGCAGTTTAAAAACTGTAGTTTTAAAGCCCTTCTGGCAAGCAGTGATGGAGTGAATGATGGTGAAAATTTTTCTTTTTCGGGCCCCTGCCTGGTGGAATCGGCGTGTGATAATAAAAAAAAATAATAAATAAATGGAGATTTATGACACAGTTAAGTCAAAGACGTGTGTAATAAGTATTGTTGTATGTTATTTATTTTACTTTTGTTTTGTTGCCAAAGCTGTATGGACACTTAAAATATGTAGTGTAAAATGTTTAAGGCATTTTGGTGCATTCAAATGAAAAAAGGCTTTTTCGCCCCCCCGGCAAAATTTTTGTTTATCATTTTTGGTATTGTGAAATGAAACCTAAACGGTTCAAACTATTATACATTTTTTGACTTTGAAGTATGTAAAAAAATAGTAAAACTTTTTTTTTTTTTTAATGTGAAAAAAGTGTAAAAAAAATTTGACTACTTTTTTTTTTATATTTTAAAATAGTAAAAAAAACGTAGATCTACTTTTGGAGCACTACACATGTGAACATAGATCTGCCTGGACCGTTTACGGGTTAAAGCCGTACAAATGGGGCCCTCCTGTATTTTCCAACATATAATTCATTAATACTCTTTCCATTATTTACAAAATGACAACAATACAGGAAATTAAATGTACCGAGAGTTCTAATAGCCGTCCAAAGTATTTTTCACATATATGCTCATAGAAAGTGTCAGAACCATTCCCTGCTCTTCCCTATTATATAAGAGGATTACATTTAAAAATTGCAAAGCAGAAGAGAGTACAGTGTCATATATATACCTGTGGTGGGTCGTCGATTACTTCGTCCCATAACTCGACCTTCTCCAGCTTCTCCATGTAGCAGGCATTTGTTCCAGTTCCTGCAAGTGCAACAACTAACATTATACCATCGTATGATAGTGTGTGGCTAGTTAATAGTCCAAGTTGGACCAAAACTTTGTCACACATTTCTTTCTCCTATGTGTGGGTTACTTATGTATTGTTCCAGTCATAGTCACTCCCACTGACATCCACCAACCACTGCCCTCCACCAACCACTACCCTCACTCTCACTGACATCCACCCTCCTCCCCACCAACTACTACCCTCACCCCCACTGACCACCCTCCCACCCACCAACAACTACCCTCACTCTCACTGACCTCCACCAACCACTACCCTCACTCCCACCAGTCACCAAATGTGCACCAACCATCATACACGTATCGTATCTCAAAATTTTCATCGCAACTCAAATTTAATTTCCTTTATGAAGGTAAATTGTAACTCAATATTATTGTGACTCAAGACCACCGTAACTCAAGGAACTGCTCTATTATGAGACATCAGAAAGTAAAGATATATGTATACTGCATGTAAGTAGAAGCTTGCAAACCCAGCAATCCTTCCAGTGAAAAAAATTAATAAGTTTCCATTTCACAATTATTTGACAGATAATAGTACCTTGAAAATATAGACACAAATACAGTGGACCCCCGCATAACGATCACCTCCGAATGCGACCAATTATGTAAGTGTATTTATGTAAGTGCATTTGTACGTGTATGTTTGCGGGTCTGAAATGGACTAATGTACTTCACAATATTCCTTATGGGAACAAATTCGGTCAGTACTGGCACCTGAACATACTTCTGGAGTGAAAAAATATCGTTAACTGGGGGTCCACTGTACAGTATAATGCGATTATTTATTGACAACGTTTCACTAACACAGTGGGCTTTATCATTTGACCATAAACAGAAATATTAATCTCAATCTTAAAATAATGAATCCTGTGATACTCCAATACTGAAACTATGTACTGTGCCAAAACAAAAGCATTCACATTGCTAAACTCACAAACTAGTATTTAGTCACTTAGCCATAATACCAACTTACCTCATAATTTGTAATATTTTAAAATTAAGAATTAAACTAAGTCTGCCCGAAATGCCTAGCCATGCTAAGCGTTCTAGTGGTACACTCTGTAATGCCTAGCCATGCTAGGTGTTCTAGTGGTACACTCTGTAATCATTATTTTACTACATGTAAACCACACAATAACCAAATTCTGTAAACTCAGCATTGTAATCCTTATAGAGAATAAACTTTGAATTGAATTGAATTGAATAAACAGATCTGTTTGTGACTTGATAAAGCTCACTGTCTGGGTGAAACGTAGTCAATAAACGATCACATTATTCTGCTACTGTGTTTATTTTTCCATCGTGTCGTTATTGTATACCATTTATTAACAATAGTACCTTCATGGGTAGTTGATGTTTACCATTCTACAACTATTTTTAACTGAAAACACTACTAATAATTCTCTTCTATTTAAAAAGTTTAACACTAATTATTTTAAACTAAAAATTCTCTTATATTTACAAGATTTAACACTAACTATTTTAAACTAAAAATTCTCTTATACAGTGGAACCTCAAAAATCAAACTGCTCCCAACACAACCAATTATGTAAGTGTATTTTTGTAAGTGCTTTTATAAGTGTATTTTTGAGAGTCTGAAATGGACTAACCTAATTTACATTATTCCTCATGGGAATAAATTCATTCGGTAAAGGCACTCGAACAGCCTTCTGGACCAAAGAAAGTTCAATATTTGAGGTTCCACTGTATTTCAAAGCTTCAAGACATGACTGTCTTCACCTACCGACAATGAGACCAATGCGACAGTTTCTGTTCTTCCATGCACAAGACATGAGAGTGCCGGTAGTGTCATTTAGGACGGCACATATCTTGATTTGCACATCCTGGCGTGGAGAAAAATCACATTATAATCATATTCATGACGGGTTATACAGCATTTGGGAATAGGTGGTAATTAGCTATGATCCAAGGAAGGGGTAAGTAGCTCCAATTCCTAAGATCAAAAGCCCTTCACTAGCATCAGTTATGAAAGTATGGTATATTACAATAGGGCCCCACTTTACAATGCTTCACTTTTCAGTGCTTCACTAACAAAGCAGTTTTCAATTATTTATTTTTTTTATTTTTATTATCACACTGGCCGATTCCCACCAAGGCAGGGTGGCCCGAAAAAGAAAAACTTTCACCATCATTCACTCCATCACTGTCTTGCCAGAAGGTTGCTTTACACTACAGTTTTCAATTATGCCCATTTTTCATTTATTCACACTTTCTACAATAAATATATTCACCACTCGCTATAAGCTAAGGGCGAAAATATTTTAAGGTAAGTAATGTGTGTACTGTATATGCATTTTTTAGGCCTGACTCTATTGCTCAATTAATATATGATAGTGTAAACATGTTATAAGGCTTTTATATGCATTTGAAAGTGAAAAAAGTATTATGTTTCACATTACAGTAATTTTTGCTTTGCAGCAGTAGCCTGGAACCTTACCTTCTGTATAAATGTAGGCCCTATAGTAGCCCAGAACCTAACTTTTTGTATAAGTGGGGCCCTACAGTAGCCCAGTACCTAACCTGCTGTATAAGTGCAGCCCTATAGTAGCCCAGAATCTAACTTGCTTTATAAGTGTGGCCCTATAGTAGCCCAGAACCTAACTTGCTTTATAAGTGGGGCCCTATAGTAGCCCAGTACCTAACCTGCTGTATAAGTGTGGCCCTATAGTAGCCCAGAACCTAACTTGCTTTATAAGTGGGGCCCTATAGTAGCCCAGTACCTAACCTGCTGTATAAGTGGGGCCCTATAGTAGCCCAGAACCTAACTTGCTTTATAAGTGGGGCCCTATGTAGCCCGTACCTAACCTGCTGTATAAGTGTGGCCCTATAGTAGCCCAGAACCTAACCTGCTGTATAAGTGTGGCCCTATAGTACCCCAGAACCTAACCTGCTGTATAAGTGTGGCCCTATAGTAGCCCAGAATCTAACTTGCTTTATAAGTGGGGCCCTACAATATTTCAAAATGATTCGATGATCTTCGATTTTGTGGAGTGACCGAATAAAGATGGTGAAGACAGAGCAATTTACTTAGTTACAACAGAAATATACAAAGATAATTGCATGTGAAATTATTCAGAAACATGAGCAACAAACAGGAAGACGACTCACCCCTCGTCTTGCAATGGCTTGCTTGAGCAACTCGACAACATCACGACCTTCAACTCCCTCACATTTAAATCCTTTAGTCCATTGCGCTAATCGAGCCTTAGTGAGTCCCTCTTGTTTACAAGGAAAACTAAAGGTGAAACCCAGAGGCAGCAACTCATTGCCAAGGTTACGCTCCTTTATAAAACTGGCGAGACATTCTGCTATGTGATCGAATAACTGAAAACAAGAGGACACATTAATAATAACAATAATAATAATCATTATTTTTACAAGTACAGATACAACTTAGACAATAGCTGACATCAATGACATACTACTATACAGAAAGCCCCTTGTTATGCAGAGCATTTTGGGAAAATTAGGTTAATTTTGGCCCCAGGATGCAACCCACAACAGTAGACTAACACCCAGGTACCTATTTTACTGTTAGGTGAACAGCAACAGCAGGTGTCTTAAGGAAACATGCCCTAATGTTTCCACCCATACCAGGGATCGAACCCTGGACCTCAGTGTGAGCTGAGTGCGCTACCATCCCAGCTATGCTCAATGTTATTATTAACCACATTCACAACAATTATGATCAAATTCCTGAAAATAAGTACAAAAATTTGCAATATTTCATTTCAGTCACATCGAAAGTTTAATAAAAGTTCTCCATCATATGATTCATTAAGTTCTGTTGTCGTATCCTCACTGTGAGGACCTGTCACTCTCCAATAAATTTCGTCATGGTTAAAGTCCCTCGTAAATAACCGTTTAACACCAGGACAATGACCAACGTCACTCTCTTGTTATCTGCCGAGTTATATTCTTGTCTTGGCCTCCAGGTATTCGTTGACGAGTTTTGTAACAACTGCCGAGAAAGTCCCAGTCCCTTATCAAAAGCCCGAGTCCTCACCTGACGTCTTTTCACTCTCCCTACTTCTCATAGAAGAAGATTCCTCAGGTATATCAGGGCAAATTTTTTTTTAAACACAGTGGCCGTTTCTTTCCCTCATGAGACAGGATGATCCAAAAAAGAAGAAGCACTTTATCTGCATCAATCAATCGCTGTCCTTGCTAGCAGTGTGCAGAAACTCTAGTTAAAACACTCGCAACTAATCTTCCCACCACCAGGACTCCTGTCAAGTACAGGCACATGCACTTCCCACCACCAACCACTCATCAGAGTACAGGCACTCTACTTCCCATCCACAACACACCCTTCAGAGTACAGGCACTGTACTTCCCGACCGACCACTTCCTTCAGATGTACAGGCACTGTACTTCCCACCACACCACCACTCCTTCATAGTATGCAACTCTACTTCTCCCCTCCACAACCACTCCTCACGAGTACAGCACTGTCCTTCCCACCTCCAGACTCAATCTGGCTAATTAGTTTTCCCCTGAATCCCTTCAAATGTACAAATTGATAAAGTAATTGACATTACATTGCAATACTATACTGTATTCCAAGGTAATCTATTTACCAAAGTATCTGTTACATTTCTAAAACCTGGAAAATGAGTAATATTTCCTATCTAAATTCAGTATTTACCACCAGGTCTGGTAACCCTTTACTGTGACTAACAAAATACTAAATTCAATATTTCTCATTCTTTCCAAACTTATGAAAACAAAATCTGGTTGAATATTTCTTTTCTCAACTCATGAAAAAAAAAAAATGGTTGAATATAACTTACCCCATCACCAGGTCCAACCATAATGGGTTGTGGAACAGCGTAGATCTTGCTATCCATCCTACACTTGCTGGAAAACTCAATGAGAAGCACTCTAAAGTTGGTGCCACCCAGGTCCAAGGCCAGGAACCTTCCTTCCTCTGCAACATAATAATAATAATAATAATAATAATAAATAATTATAATAATCTTGTAACAATGTTGGTAGAATTACCGACAATATGTAAAGTAAAAGGACACGAGTGCAACTAATGTGACATTTTATTGTGGCAAAACATTTCGCCTTGACAAAGCTCCTGGAGAGCGAAACGTTGCCACAATAAAATGTCACATTAGTTGCACTTGTGTCCTTTTACTTTATATAATAATCTTAATTTCTACAAGTACATGTACAACGTATACAGACCATAGCTGAGCATCAATGACCATACTAACTATAAAGGTGCTTGTTATAGAGAGCATTTTGGACAAATTAGGTCAATTTTGTCCCAGGATACAACCCACACCAGTCGACTAACATTTCACTGATGGGTGAACAGGGACAGCAGGTGTCTTATGGAAACATGTCCTAATATTTTCCAGCCACACTAGGGGATCAATCCCCAGAGCTCTGTGTGGTAAGTGTTGCAAAACATATATCAATTTTGTTTAAAGGAAGACTAGATTATCAGTACAAGTTTCTGCCTTTATGGCTTGGTTAAATCTAGCACATAATGTATGTATATCAGTAAAATGATGTCCGACATTCAATTAACATTCCCAACGATCTTGAATTTTACTATTTTTCATAAGCAGTTTACTCCCTTATTCTGCACTGAATTACCCACACTGTTTAATAATAATAAACAGCAAAAATGAGACTAGAGACAGTAAAGATGTCATGTCTGAGAACAATGTGTGGTGTGAATATCATGCATATTATTTTAGTGTAGAAATTAAAACGTGACGAGGGGTGACCAAGGTATATACATAGGGTCTCGTTTTACAACACTTTGGCTTTTCAAGCATTTACTAATGCATGGTTTCAAATTAACCCATTTTAAATTTATTCCGACTTCCTACAATACATATATAGCATGTGAATGGAATACAATTCCAACATGATGAAAAATTAGACATCACATTGCAACATCAGGGTATCATATTATTGTAATGTTTTCAAAACCATCCAGTGGCTTATCAATAAAGTGTAGGTAGAGTTATTATTGAAAGAATTAAGAGTAAGACGAGAATAGGATAGCAGATGAACAGGGAGGCTTTAGAAAGGTAGGGGGTGTGTGTGGACCAAGTGTTTACAGTGAAACATATAAGTGAGAACAGTACAGTGACCCCCGATTTAAAACGATCAACCTCCAAATGCGACCAATTATTTAAATGTATTTATGTAAGTGCGTTTGTACGAGTGTGTTGGGGTCTGAAATGGACTAATCTACTTCACAATATCCTTATGGGAAAAAAATTGGAGTCAGTTACTGGCACTGAACATACTACAGTGGAGCCCCACGGGTTAACGAGATAATATTTTCACTCCAGAAGTATTTCAGGGCCAGTACTGACCAATTTTGTTCCCATAAGAAAAATTGTGAATAGATTAGTCCCATTTCAGACCCCCAAACATTCACGATCAAACGCACTTAACATAAATACACTTACATAATTTGGCTCACATTCGGAGGTAACGTTATGCGGTGGGGGGGGTCCCTGTACTTAGGAATGAAAAAAGTCGAAACCGGTGTCCACTGTAATTAATAAGGCTAAAGAGATCAATATTGTGGCTTTATGGATTTGGAAAAGGCATATGAAAGGGTGATAGGGGGGCAATGTGCAGATTTGGCCCCCAGGAGTAAGGTTAGTGAGGTAGGTTACTGAAAGCAGAGAAGAGGTTTTTTTACGAGGATAGTAGGCTCAAGTTAGAGTATGTAAGAAAGAAGTGAAAATTTTTTCCCAGTAAAAGTAGGCTTAGACAAGATGTGTGAATTGTCACCAATGGTTGTTTAAAATATTTACAGATGGGTTGTAAAGAAGTAAATGCAGGGTCTTGGCAAGAGCGAGGAGTTAAAGATTAGAATCACACACACGAAAGTGGGAGTTGTCACAGTTGCTCTTTTGCTGATGACACTGTGCTCAATTTGAGATTCCGAAGAGAAGTTGCAGAGATTGGTGGATGAAATTTGGTAGGGAGTGCAAAAGAAGAAAAATTAAAAGTGAATAAAGGAAAGAGTACGGTTTATGAGGATAACAAAAAGATTTAGGTGATGAAGATTGATATCAGATTGGAGGGAGAGAGTATGGAGGAGGTGATGAACGTATTCAGAATATTATGGTAGTGGAACTGTCAGCGGATGGGGTCTATGAAAGATGAGGTGAACATAGAATTGGATGAGTGGAAAAGGTTGAGTGTATGACATAGAGTCTGTGAACAAAGAACTTTGTCCTTGGGAGCAAAGAGGGGATGTACGAGAGAAAGTTTTAAACCAACGCACTTATATGGGTGAGAAGCATGGGTGATGAATGTTGCAGTGAGGAGAAGGCTGGAGGCAGTGGAGATTGTTATGTCAGAGGCAATGTTTGGTGTGAAAATAATGTCATAGAATTCGTAGTTTGGAAGATAGGAGGAGATGCGGGATTACCAAAACTAGTTGACCAGATTGCTGAGAAGGTTTGTTGAAGGTGATCGTACATGTAGAGAGAATGGAGCGAAACAGAATGACTTCAAGAGTGTATCAGTACTGTAGTGGAAGTGAAGGGCGGACGGTAAGGGTCGGGCCTAGGAAATTTGGAGGGAGGGGGTAAAGGGAGTTTTGTGTGCGAGGGGCTTGGGACTTCAGCAGGCATGCGTGAGCATGTCTGATAGGAGTGAATGGAGACAATGGTGGTTTTTAATACTTGACGTTCTGTTGGAGTGTGAGCCAAGTACCATTTATGAAGGGGTTCAGGGAAACCGGCATGCCGTACTTGAGTCCTGAGATGGAAGAACAGGCCTGCCTCTGAAGGCGGGGTGTTAATGTTGCAGTTTAAAAACTGTAGTATAAAGCAACCCTTCTGGCAAGACAGTGATGAGTGAATGATGGTGAAAGTTTTCTTTTTCGGCCACCCTGCCTGGTGGGAATCGGCCATGTGATAATAAAAAAAAAATATAATAATAATTTAAAGACAAGTATCACTATATACAGAGGATGAGTAATCAGTCCCTCCGTCTTGAGTTGTTGTGAAAGAAGCATCATAGCTGTGAAAGAATCTCACGACTACGTGCTCTCACACCAAACTCCAAACTGAGGGACGAATAGTTTATTTTGCATATATGTAAGCTCCACTGTCTTTCAAATTATGTCCAAGAATTTGTATTGATAAAGTTACTGGATGGTGAAACATCTACAATAAAGATACCCAGATGTTGCACATGTGTCTAATTTTTTAGTAAATATAGTCACCACTCACTACAAGCAAAGGATGACAATAAGTATTTTACAAAAAGTAATTTGTATCTGTACATTCAAATTTTAGACCTAGCTACATTGCTCACTTAATATATGATAGTGTAAACATGCTATCAGGCTTTTATATGCATGTGAAAGTGAAAAAATGCCGTTTCACATGACAGAATTTCGTTTCACAGCAGTAGCCTGGAACCTAACCTGCTGTATATACAGGACCCCTACAGTAGCCCGAAGCCTAACCTGCTGTATAGTAGGGCCCTCCTGTATTCAGAGAGCTGAAAAGGAGTTGCTCAGGTGGTCTGGGCATTTAGAGAAGAGGGATAAGGATATGTTGATGAAGAGGGGTGTATAAATTTAAGTCCCTGGAGTCCTCCGAGTTTATCTGTGGGATGCCAGTCCGATTTCTCACTATTTTACTGTATATGTATAGCTTTCATCTCTATGGGGAAATGGAGAAAAATCCTTCCTCTGTAAGCCATGTGTGTCTTAAGAGGCAACTAAAATACTTGGAGTAAGCAGCTAGTAACCTTCTGTATAAATTACTAAATGCTGAGAGCAAGGGGCCAGTAACCCCTTCTGTATATTATTATTATTATTATAATCAAGGGGGAGCACTAAACCCATAGGATTATGCAACACCTGTGGGGGGAATGTGGAAGGTATTCAGGCTTAATTCAGGGAACTAGAGCACAGATAAATTCCCTAGATCAAAAGCCCCTCACCAACATCAAAAGAACCTTCCTTTTTATTTAGAAATTTTAGCATACAAACAGAGGTCCCTTGAGGGGACCCTTCTGCATAATTTACTAAATGCTGGGAGAAAGGGCTAGTAACCCTTTCTACATAAATTACTGAATGCCAGGAATAAGGGGCTAGTAATCCTTTCTGTATAAATTACTAAATGTGCCAAGAAGAAAACTTTAAATTTCTTCTTTTTTGGGTCACACGGCCTTGGTGGGAGATGGCCGATGGGTAATTAAGTTTATTTAGACACAGGTACACATAAGTACAATTATCACAGCGTTACCTTGACAAAGGAATAAAAATTGTATTCTATTATCCAGTGTAAATTACCCTACAGGATAACTAAAAAAAAAATCAGACAAAGGCACTTATTTCATTGAACTACAAAGACAAAAACTGCATACCTTTGCCATTGGGTAGTTCCCGCACATATGTGGGGAAACACTTGACAGTTGCTTCAGGATGAGAGTCTTTAGCCAGACCTTTGTTGATCTCTTCTTGCAAGCAGTCGCACACCTCCTTCAACACCTCTGGACTCAAAACTAACTCCTGACAGATCTCTCTCACCTGTAAAAGAATATTTTTATTAAAATACTCAGGCATGCTAGTGGCTTTATTTGTGCTTGACAATACGTACAATGTACAGTGGTACCTTGGGATAAGAACAGCTCAAAACTCGAATAATTATGCAAGTGTGCTTTTGTAAGTGTATTTTTGGGGGTCTGAAATGAATTAATCTAATTCACATTATTCCTTATGGGAACAAATTCGTTTGGTATCGGCACTCGAACAGCCTTCTGGAACGAATTAAGTTCGTATCCTGATGTACCACTGTATTTCATTACATGTAAACTACACTTTGTATATTATGCAAAGAAATACAAATTTGAATTTGAATTAATACATTGATTATTTCCCACCAACGCAGAGTGACCCAAAAAAGAAGAAACACTTTTACCATCATTCATTCCAAGGAAAAGAAAAATTTATATTTAAAAATGCATTTTAAGAATTCAATGTGCTGAGAGATAATATAACACTGAAATAAAATTATAAATTTTGGATAACCATGAATAATAAAAATTCAGCTTTTCAGGAACATCTACACTGGATTGTAGTGTTTAACTTCTGATACACCAAGTTAATGACTGCAGACTCGCACTGACACATAATAAACATATTAAGCTAAAACACTGGTAACTCTCCAGAAGCTGGGCCTAGTGTGTGACCTTGAGAAGTTGAGTGTGTTTATTACGACCAGCGGTGTACCACTCTCACCTATATTTACATCAACAAAAGTGTATTCTAAGTGATAAAGTGTACACTTGTGTACTTGGTAACACTTGTCATACATAGTAACGCGTGTGTAAGTGACATTGTTTAGGTACTGGTTCATCTATCTACAGCTGCACACTTATGCTTGCATACATATATAACATAGTAACGTGAGAGTTACCCAGGATGGACCAAGCAAGTCCACCACAGTGATTTATCTCATTGTCATTGTAACATTACCTATTTTTTTTTTTTTTTTTTTTTTTTAGTAATACTGTTTACAATGTATGGTTGGGGTAAGAGGTTGTCTTCAATTCTTTGTATGTCGCTATATTTTATTTCAGTGAGGTACATTGGGTGGCAGTAGCCTAACTAACTAAGTGGAGTTACATTGAATTTGAACTCTTTTTTAAAGTGATGTACGTCAGAATTCTAATTTTTGCTCTCCCTTTCTCTTTTTTCATTTTTGTAATTTGTGAAAAGGGTGTAAGACCTGCCTGTACCATCCATTATATCATTATATGTCCTTTATCAAAAAAAAAGGGTCTTGAGTGTTTTTTTTGGTGGGTGGTGTCGTATTGATGGGGTGGTCTGGGGGTTGGGTTTTTTTATTTTGGGAAAGGTGTTCTTTGAATTGGCACTTGTGTCTTGTGATCTTTTTGGCTTCTGACTTTGTAGTATATTTGCCTTGAAAGTATAAGGAAAGTAAGGAGGAATTTTGGTTGTGAGTTTCCCCAGATATCATCACTGGCAAACATGGCAACTGTTGAGGAACCCTATTTCTGCAGGTGAGGAAATGATGATGCTTCCAGACTTTAAAAAAGAAAAACAAAAGAGAAAAAGTGAGAAAGGGTAAGCGTGACGTAGCCCAGACTCACTTGACTGTCACAATGTGATACAAAAAAGTCCTTGGTGCACAGAGGCTGCAAGAAGTTTTTTCTTCGGAAAAATGTTTTAAAGCTAAATTTCCCTGCAACCCCCTGTCCCTGCTAAGTGTGCTGAAAAACACCCTGCTGCTGCTAAGTGTGCTGGAATGGTAGCTGTAAAAAGCATCCTAATAAAGGACCCAATTTAGGAAAAACAACACAACTTTGTGTTTGGGGAACAGAATGAGAATGATCAATGACTACTTAGTACCAGGGGGTATTAAGCTGCTCGACCTCATCGACATCAAACTTTAAAAAATTGCGTGTTTAAATCTTTGGATCCCCTTCTCTAATCTTTTTGCGGGAAATTTTGATTGAAGTGGAGCCCCACCAAACTTCCCTGGATAGCAGCTTATAACAAAGGTAAACCAATTTTGTGTGATGTATGTCAGAAAAAACTTGCACATTCACCCCTTTTCCCTTGCGAGTCCGGTTAAATGCGTTCATGGTGTCAAAGTATATGCGGCGATTTTTCCCATAAACATTTTTAACTCATCCCCCCAGGAACCCAGCTTCGACCTGATGCTTTCCCAGATGTAAATAGTAACCTACCATCTTCTTGGGATTTTAAATGAGAATAAGAATATTGGGGGGTCTGTAACAAAACACAATGGAACTAAACTAGTGAGATTGCTAAATGAGCATGATAATGTTCAAATTGTGGGCATCTGAGCCTACTCACTTATGGTGGATACTAGATCTGTGTCTTGGATTTAAAAAAATTTCTTTTGATGATGATCTTCATATTTGTGATTTCTATTGATCATTCCCAAGATAACAACTGTAAATCTTATCACATTCCAGCAATCAAGGAGTAAATACAAAAGGGGAAAACTTATTTCAAACCAGAAACAGAGAAAACTTTATTAACCCTTGGGGATAAATGGTTTAAGAATTATGGCCATGGCCAAAAAAATTTAAATGATGTTTTAAATTACCCTATTGAGAGTGTTCTCACAGATCAAGTGGGCGGGAATAGGAAAAAACCCCCGCCTATAAATAACAAAAAAACCAATGTAAATCTATAATGATCCACAGCTAGAAATTTAAAACCATAAAAACTAGGAGATTGGTAAAGCATACCGTGAATGTGAACCAGACCTGCCAAAAACTTTCCAAGTCCAAAACAAATGAAAGGGAAATAGAAGGAAGAATTGGGCAACGGAAGGGAAAGTTTGTTAGTGGATTAAATAGGTCACCCTTTGATTTTGGTTGGAAAAGGGTATAATAAAATAACCAGGAAAAAGACGGGAAATGTTGCTCACCCCTTTCCCTTTTGAAAAAGAAAAATGACCTCTAAATGATGGCCAAAAACACCCGGGCTGAAACCCTTCCATCCTATTAGAAAAAATTTAGAGAGTATTCTGAAGAAATGTTGAAATGATTTTTTTATGAGCCAAAATATTGTGAGAGTGTTCCCCTTTTCCCGAGTATGAATTAAATAATGCATTAACCAAAGGTCGATAAATGCTAGGGAGGTGGTTAAACCTATGTATTCTCGAACTCTAAGGCACGTCCCTGATAACCTTGTTGGACTGTTAATCTCAGTTACATTGGGGCGTTTTCCTATTCCCTGGCCCCAATAGTTCATTGTCCCTATCCTAAGCCCAACAGCCTGTACATTTAGGGATCTCCTTAAATATTGTCTTTGTAAAAACTTTTGAAAGAAGTCTTAACAGACTGTACTACGAATCAGACCCCAATTTCCCCCCCCCCCCCCCCCCCAACCCCCCCTCTATGGGTTCTGAAGGTAAAAGTGGAAAGAACTGTATTTCCACCTTTCTCACTGCAACCCCTTACTAGTTTTTCCCATTTTCTTGATAAAAAATTGCATTTGATTTTGCAAACCAGAACCGTTATACTACTGAACTGCCAAAATGAAATTGGTGGTAGTTATCTGCTGGAAATGGGTACCGTAAAATAGAGGTACCCTCTTTCCTTTCCAAGGCTTCAGAAGTGATTCAAAGAAATGTCTTTGGTAACGCAGGAGGAGTTCTTGTCCCAGCTATTTAATATTTGATTAATGCCCCCTAAAGCTCTACCTCCCACTAAACTTAGCTTAATCTATGTGTGATTATGACCATACAACGGGCATAAAGATGAATACCATTTTAAGAATTTTCAACAATTTGTAATCGACTGGGCCCTATAATTTTCCTCTAAAACAAAGATCTTAACAAGAAAACGACTCCCCCCCCCTCTATTTGCAGGGTAAAATCTTTTGCTACATTAAAATTTAAAGATATTTGGGTGTAGAGTCCCCTTTAACAAACCCCTTCCCAAAACTAAACAAGAAATGCAAAGCTAGGCTAAATGCTTAAAGGTTTTGCTGGCTTCAATCCCAAAATATGGTGTAATGTGAAAATCGTGAAAATGTGTACCACCTATTTTAGGTCCTTATTTGTTATGCTGCTCCATTTTGATATTAGCTAGAGAAAGTTCTCTCCGCCCCTTGGAGTTAATGCAAATAAACCCTTCGGTTTTTATTTTGGCTGCCCCAGATCTAAAAAGTTCTTAAAATGAGGAAGGAGTTTGGGTATTTCTAGTATCAGTATAGGTTTGTTGAAATTAACACTGTTCGGTTTTGAATGTTGAGAAACAAACCAGACACTGTACGTGAATTTACAAGTGTCTAGAGGTAATTACAACAGATCAAAAAGGATGTAAAAAACGTGCAATTCTCAAGTTTTTAACCAGCATGAACTGTATCATGTGGGCAAAAAGAGCTTTCCCCCCCTCCGTGGAAGATAGTTTTTAATTTCCATACTCAAGTCCCCCCAAGAAGTAAATGTAGAAATCCCTTCCTTTAATCTCTTGTTAGGAATGTCAAGAAAAAATTTTTTAGCGGGTTGAAATTAAGTTATCACAATTTTACATGATGGTTTTAAAAGGGGTCTTTGGCAGGGCTGCATTGTTTGTTTCCACCCCCCTAGTTAAGAAAACCCTAATAAATTTGTTGAGTTAGGCATAAGAATTAACAATGGGCGTCTAATGCAAACTGAATTGTTTGCAAACCTAATGGCGCTAAAACTAACCCATGCCTGAGCTTGTCTTCCATTAGATCTTGTCTCATGAAGGCTCTTGACTATATAATGACTCCCAAAAACATGCTCATTGGGGAAGCCCGGTTAGATATCAAAATTAGGGAAAAAAAATTAAGTACAATTTTCTAGGATCCCATCACACATTTGGTTATCCCTTCATGATAAAATTATATGTTAGCCCGAAGATACCCCCGAAGGAGAACTAGAAAATAACTTTGGTTAAATGTGTCTAGCATTAGGGAAAAATATTAGGAGAGAAATAAATTGAAAATGATTGTTATAGAATGCAGTTAGAAGCTGAGTGATCATAACCACTATGATA